AAGCAGATGCACAGGGGCACGCACACACACACACACACCCCCACACCCACACAGCAGCTACAGCGCAAGCAACCCCTATTTCTCTTTGACTTGCACTTTTATCAGTGCAAAAACAGTAGTGAAAACAGAAACATCTAAGTTAAAAACTGTGTTTACCTTTAGGCTAGTGCATGGGATCATGGTATAGCTTAAGTTACATCAAAGTGGCTTCCAGATACTGGAAAATATTCATTTCAAGTTCATTCATCCATCTTCAGGCCAGGGTTTGCGCGGGTCCTGGAGACTATCCCTGGAATACTTTGTACGAGGTGGGAGAATTCACCCTGGATGGAATGCCAGTCTATTGCAGGGTGCCATGCACACCCTTATTCACTCCTATATGCAAGTTACCATAGCCAATCTGCCTATTTGCATGTTTTTGGGAGGTGGAAGGAAACCAGAGAACCCAGAGGAAACCCACACAAACACAGGGACAACATGCAAACTCTACACAAACTGCAACAAAAGCTCAGGTCACACCAAGCACCCTGGAGCTGTGAGGTGGCAATGCTTCCCTACCACATTTAGAACTTGACTTGATGCCTCATTATCATCTGTATTTCGCAGTGATGAGAGGTTGGGATGACGTCCTAGTCATTAAGGATGAGTCCTTAAAATTCCAATGTTACCAGAAACTCCACCCAAAAGACCCCTATCCCAGATGCCTTGTTTCAGAATCAGAAGTGGACAATGTCAGGTCCAAGAATTGCATCACCAACCAACATAATATGACCAGCATATTATACTGAACAGTGGAGGCTTAATGACTGAGGAGAGGTTAAGGGTAGCAACATGGAAAACAGGCCCTGACTAATTCATACCACAAGTGTTTCCGTAAGTGAGATGTTTTTTTCCCCCCAAAATTACTGTCATAATGTCTTCTCATCACTCAATTTTCATTGTCTTCTGTGGTATGACACAAACTAGTTTTATGAGAAGAATGACTCCCTAAATGACGCTGGCTCTATTCCATCTTATCCTATTCCGCAAGGCCAGACACGGTCACCTGACTCAGCCAGCTAGACTGGAGTTGAATCATGGGAAACTGAGCCCCACTGAGACTGCATTACAGGAGGAGGAGGAGGAGCCTTTGCATTATAATTTATAAGAAACTTTATTAATTCATTTCCTTCACTATCTTTTTGGTCAGGCTAGTCATTACTCTCTGCAAATAAGTGGGGATGTTTCACAAAATAAAATCGCCAATGCTTTGTGAAGAATAAGAAACAATTAAAAAATGTTTTTTTTTTTGTTTTGTGCAATCAATATATCAGTATAGTATGTACCAATAAACAATATATAGGCAGTGCTATGAGCTATAATGTGCTATAATTTGTACACTACATTACTTTTCGGCTGATTTTATCCCCAGTTTTTATCTGTAATTTTCAAAAGAGAAAAAATCCAATGCCTTCCAAAACTTGAGTCTTTTAGAGTGCCTTCAGCAGTGTTACACAATAACAGCACTGTTGTGGTATCTTAAGATACTTTCACTGATAGCAAAGCATGTCATGTAGTTTAAATCAGTTCTTTGCCCAATTATCCACTGTGTGTGCAGCCTCCAACATTCTACATTTTCTAAATTTTTTTTTTTTAAATATACAATTTAGTTTATGGCCAGCTTTATGGCATTAAAAAGGCAGAAAAACACCTACTGTAATACACCTGTGACACGCTGTTACAGCTTGTTATGGCGAGCAATCACCAAAGCACATGACACATGGTTACCCTTAACCATGCCAATCCAAATTAATCTTTAAACAGCACGTATAAAAGTAGATTTGAAGCTGCCTGAGTATGCACATTACTTCCTTTGTATGGGAAATCAGTGTTTTATGGTCTTTATCAACGACCCTTTCAGTCTCTGGGATAATTAATATTAATATACCCTTTCCTACGACTGTGCAGCAAAATGGCAGTGAGCCAAAACAGAGTCGCTCATGATAATCCCTACATTTGTCCAATCTAAGCAAGCCTGGAAGCACATTAAACTGTAGTGTTGCTCTGGCCTCTATTAGGAATGTGCTGACATAGGGTTGACTAATCATAGTTTGCAGTATTATCACAATATTGCATTTTTTAAAATGCCTACACACTCCCATGTACAAGCTTTTATTGCTCAGTATTTTAGCCATAAACTAAGAAGCATCTCATTTTTGTGATCTGTAGAAAAGGCTTATTTGTACCTTTCTCATTTCATTAATAACTACTGGCAACATTTTTTCAGTTAAACATGGACAAATCATACTTGTTCCGGATTCTGCTACAGGGAAAATAACTTTTCTCTTATGGCCAAACCAAACAGTGTTACTTTATTCATACTTCTTCGTCGCATTCATATTCAGCCAGTAATATGTAGCTACCATGCAAAATATTAACTATTAGCATTAAAGTTAAGAATGATGAAATGTCAAAAAACTCAAAACATTACCTTCTTTAAAAGATTACTAACATGCTTTTCAGGTGTGGGCTTTGCATGTATGTATATGGATGTGTTTGTACGTGTGCAAAATATATAGTTTTACTGTGTGAGATTTTTCAGGGCATAATAACACTCATCTTTGTCATCTGAGTTTTATACTGATGATCTAAAAACACTGTGATCCACTTCCCTTTGACCTTCGACACTAAACCAAGTATTCTTCTACTTGCAGAATCCACGCATACACATGTTACTCATGCACTGCTAAAAACGTTTAAAAAGGAAAGTCTTTTTTAAGCCCAAAGTGTTCATGGTTGATGAAAAGAAGAGAATGAGGCCTGAAAAAAAGGCCGAATGTGTAAAACTAACTGGTAGAGACTACATATCTCCGACGACTAAATAAAAAATGAATGAATGAATGAATAAAAAAATGACACTAAGATAAATCATGTCAGATCTTTTCCCACCTTTAATTTGCAATTGCAAAGTACACAAATAAAGTGAAAAACAATCAGGAACTTTTTTAGGAAAAAAAGGAAAAATCAAAAATTTAAAATGCATACCCCTAAACTAATACATTGTTGAAGCATCTTTTGATTTTATTACACCACTCAGTCTTTTTGGCTAAGAGTCTATCAGCATGGCACATCTTGACTTGGCAATATTTTCCCACTCTCTCTATCATAAACATTCCAGATCCATCTAACTGTAAGGGCATCTCCTGTGCACAGCCCGCTTCAGGTCACCCCACAGATTTTTAGTTGGATTCAGGTCAGGGCTCCTTTCTAAATCATTCAAAAACATTGAAACTCCTTTTCATTTTCAACTTACTAGCAGCCCTAAAGCATGATGCTGCCACCACCATGCTTCACCTTGGGTATGGTGTCCTTTTGTCAATGTGTTTTTTTGTTTGTTTTTTGCACCAAACATACCTTTTGGAATTATTGAATTATTATACCTACTGGAATTGGTTTCATCAGACCATGACACATTTTGCCACATGGTCTGGGGTGATTTAGTTGAGCTTGGATGTTTTTTGAGAGAAAGAGCTTCTGTCCAGCCACCTACCCCATAGCCCAGACATGTGAAGAATATGAGTGATTGTTGTCACATGCATAGAGTAATCAGCACTTGTCAGATATTCCTGCAGCTAATTTAATGTTGCCGTATGTTTCTTGGCAGCCTCCATGGTAAGTTTTTGTCATGTCCTTTTGTAAATTTTGGAGGGACGTCCTGTTCTGTAGTGCTCCATTTTTTCCACTTGTTGATGATGGCCTTCATGGTGTTCCATGTTCTATCTAATGTTTTGGAAACAATTTTTGTACCCCTCTCCTGATCGATGTCTTTCGACAAGTGAGATACTGTACAGGCTTTGTAACCTCTATGCAGCCCATGCCTTCAGGAGTCAAATGAAACCAAGGAGATGTCAAGAAATCCTATAGAAACAGCTGGTCTTTATTTGGGGTTAATCAGAATAATTTCATTGATGACAGCTGTATGATAATTACTTTTAAATATGAGATTGAATGTGATTGGCTCATTCTGAACACAGCCACATCCCCAATTATAAAAGAGTGTGCACATTTATGCAACCAGGTTATTTTAACTTTTTTTTTTTAATTTTGCTATTGTTCCCTAAAATGTTTCTGATTGTTTTTCACTGTCATTTCACATTGAGGGTGGAAAAAGTTCTGACGTGATTTGGCTTGGTTTCATTTTTTACATCACAAAACGTTTTAATAGGGGTGTTTAGACTTTTTATATCCATTGTAATTTTGTTGGCTGAGTTAATATATCACAGCAGGCAAAGGTATAAAACTTCAGCGAGTTCACACCACAACCAGCAATGACTCATCTAAACATTGTTCAGGCTCCTTTAAAGTAACCTTTATCCTACATTACGTAATGTTTACCAGAACACAGACATACCTAGAGAAACTCGTTATTTGAAAAGAAAGATCATCTTTCAAAACTGAGGGACCATAAAATAGTAGGGTAGAGACTTCACAAAAGAGAACAAAAGTATAAATTTGTCATCTTTTACAATTCTGTACTTCTAAGTGCTCCTTTTGGTGCAGCACAAACCTTACATTCAGCTCATTACATAATGGACAAATGAGAACTTTTGCATTCTCTATGACTAGAAGAGTGGAAGCATATCTGTGAAGTACATCAGATACCTGAGGGACAGAACACATGAACAGATGCCAAGTAAGATAGCTGGGACTAAGAGCTGTTTTTCTACACAGCAGCCATTTCTACACTGATAACTATCGCTATGTTGGACATCGATCAAACCACTCTGAGTGGCACAGAGGGACACAAATCTAGGAACTGTTGTCAAATACAATTTTGGGCAAGGTTTGCATTTATTGCTGTACAATCGCACCAATACTACACTTTTGTTTCACTAATTGTTCAATTATAACCTAAACTTAATGTTAGCCAAGTGACGCATTAATTTACTCTGATTTGTACTCAACCTATAAGTTTCAGGAAGATAGTGATTAAGCACCTTATTGCTGTTTATAGACTAGGGTCCCTGGTGGTCTAGCAGCTAAGGATCCCACGCTCTCACTGCTGCAGTCCAGGTTCGATTCCCGGGCAGGGAACCAACCCAGTGTACTCTCAGTGCCAGTCCAGAACAAAATGGGAGGGTTGTGTCAGGAAGGGCGTCCGGTGTAAAACCTGTGCCAAATCAAACACGTGGACCAATGATCTGCTGTGGTGACCCCTAATGGGAGCAGCCGAAAGAACAACAACATTGCTGTTTATAGACTTATAGTTAAGTGGCACTTGAACTATTTCTGAGAAACTGAGCTATGTTGTACGGGACTGAAATGCAAGCTATGCCAGTTTGATGAATGCAGATGCACAGTCCTTCCACAAGATGCGCACAGAGCAGCCGGAACTGAAAATAAGAGAAACACAAATTGTCTAAGCAGCCTCTGCACATTAGGTTTCATGAAGAAACAGACATAGCCTCATGAATGTGCTGTAGGTCATTTGTTCTTCTGCAAAGGTGACTAAATTAAGCCTTGTGTCCCCTCTGCCATGCTAGCCATGCTAATGCTGGCCGAAGCTCTCCTGGAACTCTGAGTTGACCTTCAATCTACAGAAGATCAACAAGCTACTTCTGACCACATTCGGTGTTTGTAGTAGTTAAACTGTATTTGCCCTGATGGATATGTATGCCCTCCTACTCTGATAACTACAATAAAACTAAATATTTGTTAGACTGATTAGAAATTACAGGAACAATCTTGTTCATGGTTCAGTAATGCCAGAACAATCCAGTTTTCTCTCTCACATTCCACCGACACGAGTGTTAATGAAGTAATAAGATATTTAGTGCAACTCTGGAATTGCTCAATAACTTTGACATTCATGGCCATGAATCCCAATACACAACAGCAAATCTCTCACTGGTATAGGTATGTCATGAAACCGCTACCTGAACCGTGTCTTATGAAACTAAACCAGACGTGGCAACATGCTATTTTCAACCCTGTGCAATGTACTAATGGTGCATAACTAGAGAAAAGGTTGCCTTCAAATGACTCATGCCCAGTGCATACCATGCATGCTGTTCTATACTTGGGAAGAACAATAAGTAAATCACGCTAAAAAATGGACAAAATTGGCTTTCTCTGTGCAAGATAAAACTGCGCTTTCTCAAATGTTTCCTGCAGCAACTGTGAATATTTAGCTCATAACTCTGTGTCCAAAAGTCCGTAGTGGTTTCAGTGCTTAAGGGTTCTTCTTGTATGGTTAGTGTTTTGAGCTTCCTAAAAGGGGATGTTTTGCACCTTTCCAGTAGGGAAACGATATTAACGGGATCTACATATAACCTTTAAAGATTGCCCTTTAAGGACAACTGAAGAATCCTTAGTGGTCCTAGATTCTAACATTTTTCCTAACAATTTCTTAACCTAAAGAAGAACTTTTCTTTCTCAGGTACTGAAATACGGTAACGATATAAATGAACATGGAAAAATAAATGTATTTAAATTTTTATAACCAATTGAAATATCTGTTGATTCAAGTGAGAAGCTGCATGAGAAACACAGGTTCAACGACGGATGCATATCTAGAACAGTTAGTTACTACTTTACTATTATTAAATTTAGGTGTCAGGTGGATATTTCAAAAGCTTCATCTGAGTAAGGTGCAACCTCATTATCTTTACTGAAACCAGTTCTTTCGTACTTGCTGCAGGCTTTCCAAATGTTTGTTTTTCATGTCAAGTAGAACAGTTTCAGGCTCCATAAAGAGACACCAATGAGGCATCAGTGTTTTATTAATTATTTTTTATGAGTCACAATGACTTTGCTCTTTCAGCCCTGCATTTACAGCTATGCGCAATCACTGCTGCAATTCACAGATTATACAAAATACATATCGTTTGAATTTACACCTCTAATACAAAGTACTTCATATCACTTGAATTTACACCTGTAATACAAAGTACTTCATATCACTTATCACTTGTATCACTCTAATGCAAAGTATTTGAATTTACACCTCTACAGCTTTTGACTTTACAAAAGAGGTGTAAAGAACAGAAATGAGGTGCAAATAACAAATAACAGAAATGCAAACCACACCTGAAAAGCATCCTCATCTATGTATGTTACAGATCACAGTATTATTAACCTCTCTACCCCCTTGAGCTCTCTCTCTCGCTCTGTGTTTTTAATCAAAATGTCACCGGAGAGCTTGCATGTCTCTGGGTAGCCTCGGGTGGAGCTCAAAAATCACAGCAGCCATCTGCTCCTCTGCCACACAACTATTTTCATAATAAGCAGCACCACGCTTTGGGCTATACGGCAGCCAGACAAGAAGAAATCCACAAAACTGAATTAACCAACCAGGCATGGGCACAGAGTATGAGTCTCTCACCATACTCCCTCGTTGATACTGCCTTCATATTTAACAGAGGTGCATTTATTTTAACATATTCCCAATGATTAATTTCAGTATGACAGAGCCCTTTAGCCATGACAGTGCAAGTGTAATTGTTCACATCAGATGGATCATCCTTAACTTTTTCATTGCTGAGAGGCATTCAGGTTCCAAGAACTTTAAAACAATGGACAAACCATCTGAAATTCCTCAACCTTGCTCACTTATAAGCAGTTTTCCTGTGATTTTGGCCTCTTACTAAACACAAACTCCAAAAATGCATCCCCTGCTAATCTCTGATCCCCTGGAACAGTTTGTTCTCTCACACTGCAAAACAATCAACATCGGCACAACCTCTCTCACTCATGGGAAGCAAGGCAGACGAATGGTACAACACGCGATGGACATGGGAGGACCCTATTGCTATAGACACATACATACAGATCACATAACCATACAGTAGAAAACAGTTTGTTATCCGGGTCCATCTGAAATAAGATAGCGCTGTATGCTGCAATTAAAGGAAGTGGGAGACTGGTGGACAGGAAAGACCAAAGGAAAGTTCTGGTCAAGACCAACCAATATGCCATATGAGGAGGTGAAGGCTGAAAAAAGACAGATTAAAAAAAGAGAGCATAATCTCTCAAACTAAAAGCTTCGTATGTGCCCCTGCTGTTAGCCGAGGGTGGGGATTTAGGGGCCTAGATTCACATTCTCTCCGGAGATCCTGTCACAATAAACTGCACATTTTTGTAGAGTCAGACAGCTGGGAGAGAATTCTCTGCTCTCAGCAATCATCTCAATCTCCTCTAGAACGTCAGCCCACATGAGACCAGTACAATACCACTAAATGTCAATTAGAAAATTTTCTGAATGGTGCTGAGACGGCAAAATCAGAAAGCATCCACACAACTTCATATCACTATCCTGTTACATTAGCTGACTCTGTTTCTCCCATTAACACTCAGTCAGTAGAAAGTGTATCCTCTAATTACCTGTAAAACCTGACAGATGGAACAGAAGGCATCTGTTCTCAGCAGAGCTGTAAGCTGGGCATCTCTGTCTGAGGACTGAGAGGCTCTGAGGTGGCAGGGACAGAGCTTGGATAGAGCACTGGCAGTGCTGGCACTGAGAGCCCTGGGAAGCAAGCCAGCGTTTGCCCTTTGGCCAGGGGATTGGAGAGCTCAGTTTAACAGAGATGAGTGCTGAGAAGTCTCTCGCTTCCTCTGCATCTCAATATCCAACAGGGATAACTTAACTGTCCCATATTGCTGTCCAATCTTCATGTATAATTGGTATACGTGATGGTGTACTGCTCGATACAAGCACAACATTATTTTTTAACGGATATCTGTGTACAAATAGGCAGCATATAGCTGGATTTCCTCCAAGGCTCCCTAATGATTCTTTGAACATTTATATCCCTGTTCAATTGGGAAAAACTCTGTGGTAGGGTTCTGCTTAGAAACCTTAAGGGTTCCCTCACAAGAACAAACCGAAGTATCTGTTAGAGTTCTGGTTTTTAACCATTTTCTCAGAGAGTGTGGGCATAATGATAAGTTTATAATTGTAACTTTAACAAAGATTACCTTATCACACACTCATACAGGCTTAACTGTATATATCAAAATATATAGAAAAAAAAAACCGTGTCTATTGAAGGATATGAACTTCCAAGTATTTCTCTTTTAATTCTTTGGAATATGTGGCATAAATTATTTAATGGCAAATAAATTACACAGAACACCACACCACACACACACACACACACACATCTCTAGAGGTACAAGATGGCTGACACATTTGTTGCAAAAGCCTACTCACTCCAGTTCGGCCTCTGTCCCTTAAGGAAATGCTCAACTGTTTTTGCATTCCCCTCTGAATTGCAATATCCTGATACTAAAGATACATGCTCTTCAATTGAGTGTAATACCAATGTTTGTGTTCAGTTTCCCTCCGAATGATCTGATAAAGGCACAGAGAGCATGCAGGGAACTACCAGTCACGCAGCCGGAGCAGACTTTTAGGCGCTTTGTCTACCAAGCACACACTCGCAAATGCCGTGAGGCTAAAACTTTCAGCTATTTCTTTAAAGGGATATTCCACTCATTTTTCAAAATTTTAGGATAAGTAATTTCGGAAGAAGGAAAAAGTCAAGCAGAGTGTTCTGAAGAAAAACCGGCCATTGTCCCAAAATTGTCTAAAAAAAAAAATTGTCTGGAAATTTCCCAGCGCAGATGTTTGTTACAAGAACCTCACCTCACAGCGAAGCTACATGCATCTTCTGAGATTTTAGACTTCTCAGCAAAACAATCTGAACAATCCAGTCCATTAAGTGTGGCCTGTACAAACGATTCTGTTCTCATTAAGATTTATTTATAGGCCTCCCGGACATGACAGGCACAGGACAACATTTCCTTAGATGTTGAATCAGCATAACATATCAGGAATGGGAAAGCCTTAGTGGAGCGACTTTTGAAATGTGAACCTAATTTGCATAATTTCGTGATTTCATATTAAAAATTCCATTAAAAGTGCATAAATAACTAAGCAATGTAATAGTCATATCTGACACTGAAACCTGCTGTATTCCAAGTAGAATATCCAATATCAAAAACAAGAGGGAAAAAAAGTGGTGTGTCTGTATAATCCAAAAAGTTGTTATTATTATTATTATTATTATTATTACGGCTGTATTTCTGTGGAT